GGAACTGGATCTCTCTATGAGCCTGCAGTTAAAATTCCTTCGCCTTCTACGAAATGAAGTTTTATCTTCTTTGTGCCAGCTTAACTAAAAAAATCCAGCTTACTGCTCCTTAGTAACAGGTATATGCAAAGATAGGATTGATGGGAGAAAGAACCTAAAAATATTTTGCAGTTCAGGGTCCTGTTCCTCAGTGTGTTGTATAGGATCCTTACACTCTCCACTTCTCTCCTGATTTATGAGCAAGCCACAGAAGCTCCTACTTTCCAGCTAGCTCCATCTTTCAGAGGGTCGCTCATTGCTGCCAAAGGCAAGGCTAAGACTTTGTACTCATGATCAGAAGAGAAAGTTTCCCCCAGAAAAAGACACAACTGGAAGGTATTCAAAAGTTAAGCAGACCTTGTGAGGCACAGGCAGGGGGACAAGGGGCCATGATGCTTTCACACAGAAACCCCTGCATTGCACTGCTGCGCTCACTGAAAAACCCAACATTTTGAGAGAGTTTGCACAAAACAAACAAAAAGCCCATTTAAACAGAGATACAGTTTATGCTGGATCAGAAACAATGATCACAAAGACTCATTCTGCCTTAAAATCTCTCTATGAATGAATGTTTCTAATGTAACCATTTTAAAGGGAGAAAAAAAATCCCAGTCCATCCTTTAGTTTTTTCTTATTCTAATTTCCAAACTAGACTGGAACCAGAATCAACCCAGGACATGGGATAGCTGGGAGATGAGGCACCATTGAATGCTGTTAGTTTTTCAGATATGGTGAATATTAATAACAGTCTTTCCCTCTCTTGTTTACCTGTTCAGAAGGTCAAAGAACCTAGAAAGCAACGTGTGAATATTGTGACATCCCGAGGCAAAGGCAAAATCAGCAACAGGCAACGTTCACTCTAGAGTAGCTGTAGGAATCAGGGATCCATCTAGTGCCTGTGGCTCAGCTAGTGCTCTCAGTCCCAGGTATAGCACTGAGTCAATTGTTTACTCCTTAGTCAGCCCAGGGATCTTCTCACCAGCGGGATTTATTTTGCTTGGAAGCAGGGGTCCTGACACTGGATAGCCCTGACTGCTTCCAGCCGGAGCCAAAGACAGACATCAACTCGGTCATGGGCCCTGCTAGAAGAAAAGACAGCTCATGCAGTATGGTGGGGAAAGGAGGAAAGACATAGGTTTCAGGGGCATAGCCCATTGCCACCATATCTGTGCACTTTCTATTTCAGCTGTCATCCCTGCCAACCTGATGGAGAACTGAGGCAGAAGGACGTAATGCCCAGGTGCATGAAACGTGATCTCAGAAAATTCTTCCTCTCCTCTTCCTGCCTGAAAGGTGGAAGGTTTGAGCAGGAACTGGACAACACAAATGCTTTCCTGACCTTCCCCCTGGCCAAGGCTCAGAGTGCCAAACTCAACAGCGTCACACAGTTCAGTTGTGACAGGGGGGCGGTTTTCCCCCATTATGTTTCCTACCATCATGCATCCCAGCACTCATGAGTGTCTGGCAATACCCAGCCTGGTGCTTTCAGGCAATCTGGTGACCACTTCTCTTCAAACACTATGCTGTGAACTGTGGAATTACGCACTGCTCAGTAAGTAGTTTAGACATCCATGAGGCAGGGGTAAGGAGGAGAGCTGGGCGCCCCAGCCCAGGCCAGAGCCCCCACCAGTCCCAGCCAGACCTGCCTCTCAGAAGGACAGCACGGCCCAGGACTCCACTTGCTGTAGGCTTTCTCCTACAGACAGAGACATTGTTCTGTTATCACTGCAGCACACCAAGGACGTTGCTTTTTAGTCTGTATTCAGCATTTCAGATGAGCTTAGTAAAAAGGCAAGAATTTGCTGTTCTAAGCCATTTTCCCTTTTGTTTCAAAAAGCGCAGTCACCAAAATTTGTAACTGAGAGTGTGCAATGGCAACCCCCCCAGGAGACTTTACAGAAAACCCTCACTGTATTGTTTTTGTTAGTATCTGCTAAAGGCCTAAAAAGCCAGCAGTTTGCACACTGGAGGGAAGGGAGTGTCGATCTGCTCGAGGGTAGGA